AAAAATGAGCATCAGATCATACCTTGACTCTGGCCAGGAGAGATGCACTCTCCTAATGGGCATGGGACCCGGTGCCCTCAGCACATCTTGACTTGTCAGAGCCCTTGGTGTCATTGCTGAAAGAGAATCACAAAGAGAAACTCTGCGTTGCACTGAGGGAATCTGAGTGAGCTGAGACTAGCAGGTTATGAGGTCCCCACATCTTTGCTGATGAAGGCAGAAGTCTGTCTTCTGTTTCAACAAGGTCTCTGGGTCAGATTCAAAGGACTCCTGAGGACAGGTGGCATGAACCACAGCAATTTTTCCTTTAATAAGAATGTAATGGGGAAAAGTAAGAAAGAAAAGAACAACAGCCTTGAGTCCAGCTACCCTGCGAATGAGGAGGAGATGCACATGGGACACTTACTGGTGCTGACATTGTACCTGCTGAAGCAATTTTCTCAACGCATCCTCGAGTTCCTTGTTCCTCAAACTATAGATGAGGGGCTTCACTGCTGGAGGCACCACCGCATAGAGAACCGCCACCCCCCAATCCAGGGATGGGGAGGAAATGGAGAGGGGCTTGAGGGACGCAATCGTGATGGTTCTGACAGAAAGCAAGATTACAGCCAGGTGAGGAAGGCACACGGAAAAGGCTTTGTGCCGACCCTGCTCAGAGGGAATACTCAGCACAGCAGTGAAGTTCTGCACATAGGACAGCACACCAAAAACAAAGCATCCAAATACTAAACAAAAATTAAATACAATAATGGCAGCTTCCCTGAGGTAGGAGTCTGAGCACGATAGCTTGAGGAGCTGGGAAACTTGACAGAAGAACTGCTCCATGACATTGCCTTGGCAGAGTGGTATTGAAAATGTGTTGGCAGTGTGCAGGATAGCATTGAGCAAACCACTGGCCCAGGCAGCTGCTGCCATTTTGACACAAGCTCTGCTGCTCACGAAGGTCTCATAGTGCAAGGGTCTGCAGATGGCCGCAAAGTGGTCATAGGCCATGACAGTGAGAAGAGAACATTCAGCTGAAAGCAGGAAAAAGAGGAAAAAGACCTGGGCAGCACAGCCTAAGTAGGAAATGGTCCTGATGTCCCACACAGAATTGGCCATAGATTTGGGAACAGTTGTGGAGGTGGAGCCAGTATCCAGTACAGAGAGGATGAGAAGGAAGAAGTACATGAAGGTGTGGAGGTGGTAGTCGTAGACTACTGCTGTGATGATGATGCCATTGCCCAGGAGGGCAAACAGGTAGATGCACAGAAACACTGCAGAGTGCAAGAGCTGCAGCTCCTGTGTGTTCTCGAATGCCAGGAAGAGGAACTCATTGAAGGAGCATTGGACATCTGCTGTTTTGCAGCACTGAGGGGGACTGCCCAAGGAAGAAGAGATGTAGAAGTTAGTACAGGCTTCCATGAGCAGATCTTTCTCATAACTGCCTTCTCTGCAGTAAACTGTTTGTCTCTCCCCATCTCAGCACGTCTGTCACAGAGCTCATTGGCTTGGACTCCATTTTGTGGTGTGTTTGCTATGAGGACATAGAAATCATCTAGATTGCTCTTGCACTCAGAGTGAGCCACTCTGGTTCCTAAGAGCAAAAGGATCACCACGGTGTTAATGCAGGGCGAGGAGAGCTCCTTGTCCATATGCCTTGTTCACAAGTTGTGTTCTGTTTGCACCTCTGAGGTACAAGAACTTTGCACTCATGTTACCCCAGACAGAAATGACCCCACTGAACACAGAGGAATCTAGTACCAAAGTGCACATCAGCAAACTCTGCACCCTTCCTCAGATGATCTCAGGATCCACAGGGTCAGTGTCTGAACTGCATCTGAAACCCACCCTGGCCAGACAGTCCCAGGGCAAGAACAGGAGCAGCACAGACAAGTGGTTAACACAGAGCAATACCATGATATTTCTGCTGAAAATGAAGGGACGGGAGGGAGAGAGAGCCCTGAAGAGTATGAGATCCTTCTTAAAAGGAGACCTGCCCTGCAGGGGATCTCTCCTTTCACCCAGAGCTTCTCCTTGCACTCCCCAGGCACGCTGAGTGTTGACCCTTGCAGGCAGCAGAGCCACTGCCCCAGGCACACAGCACCCTGGAGTGGCAGGGACACGCTGACAGTGTGGCAAGGAATGCCTGCTCCGAACACCTCCTGCTTCACACCAAGGAAATGGGGACAGCTGTCCGGGCAGCTGCTATCGGCCATGGGATGTGGTAGCTTTAGAGGACTCCTCAGGATACCTCATGGTCACTGCCTAGCAAGGGAGAGACTGTGTTGGGGCTATGAAGATTTCTCCACCACGGAGCTCTCAGAAATCCTCCCAGCTCTGAAAATCTTTTAACTTCTTTCCATCTCACTTGTCTAGCTCGTCTTGCTTGTCTCAAGTCAGCACCTGTAGGAAATGCCTGGAGCTCTGCTGCTCTTTGTGGAGGAGCTGCGCCTGGACACCCTTCTGCCAGGTTGCCTTGAGCTCCACCCCAGGAACCTGGCCATTCTCAGAAGAGTGGCACAGCTGGAGGTGTGACTTGATTTCTCCTTTTGCTCCCTCCTCCTCCTCCTGGGAAATAGTTATTGAAGCAGATTAAAATATTTATCTATGGTCTTCCTCTGATAAACTAATTCTGAAGCCAGCATTAGAAATTGTCTCATCAGAGGATGGTTATCTAGGAAAGGTGGAACTGTCTCACTCTGCCAGGCTATATTGCCATCTCTTAACTATGTAGGGTCAAAGAGTGAGTTCATTTACTCAGCCTTCAGATGATTCAATCTGGACATGTCATGCCAGTTTTGATGGCCCTGTGGTGGAGTGGGATTCAGATTCCTCTCGTGCACTTGCAAACGTGCGAGTAATGGCATTCCTCTTGCCAAAGCTAACGTGTGCGTAATATGTGATTCCTTTATCTAATGCTCCATATCACTGCAGATGG